AGATGTAGTTCTCTTTAGTCATTAAATCAGAAGTATGCTCTAAATAATTGCAGTCCGTCTTACTTATTAAATCAGAAGTATACTCGAAGTAGTTGTGGTTCTTCTTATCTATTAAATCAGAAGTATGCTCTAAATGGTTGGGGTTCTCTTAATTATCAAATCAAAAGTATGCTCTAAATAGTTGTGGTATGTCTTAAATATCTGTGGTATTCTTTGGCTAGTAAAGCTGAAGTATATCACAAGTAGTTATGATCCTCTTTATTTAGTAAAGCAGAGCATGTTCTAAGTAGTTGGGATCTTACATAGTTAGTAAAACTGAAGTATGCCTTAAATAGTTGTTGCCCTCTTTACTTAGGGAAACGGTAGTATCTCTTTAATAGTTGTTTTCCTTTTTAATTACTAAAGCAGAAAAATGTCCTAAATAATTTTGTCCTCTTTATTAGTAAAGTAGAAGTCTGCCCTTAATAGTTATTTTTATCTTTATTTATTGAAGCATAAGTATGTCTTAAATAATTGTGGTTCTCTACAGTTAACTAAAGAGAAGTATGTCCTCTTCAGCCAGTAAAGTAGAGATACGTACTCAGTAAACTCTAAGTGATCTTCGCTTACTTGTAAAAAACAGCTGCAGTATAAATGGATCATGTTACTCTAAATGTAGTTATTAACCCTATGTGCACGGGTTGTGGTCAAAGTGCGCATACCATAGCCATTCACAGATTGCTATTCAACATGGTATTGTGTATTTGATGTCAGGGTTGTGAACTATTCACTTTACCCTATTCTGCTAATTTAGCAACAGTTCATGGTAGAAGACAGTAAGTACCAGATATAATATACCGGGATACTGAAAAAACTGTAGATATGCATTTCGGAGATTATTGGGGCTATGCAAATGCAATATGTACGGTGGCCAAAGGTATTTGTATTCTTCACATGAACATCATCTTGTACTCCGTCTTCTCAGAGTCCGACTGACGACATTAATTCACAGACACATTTTTTAATACCCAGTCAATATTCCTTCTTGTGTAGATACACATTCAATATTCCTTCTTGTGTAGATACACAGTCAATATTCCTTCTTGTGTAGATACTCAGTCAATATTCCTTCTTGTGTAGATACACAGTCAATATTCCTTCTTGTGTAGATACACAGTCAATATTCCTTCTTGTGTAGATACACAGTCAACATTCCTTCTTTGTAGATACACAGTCAATATTCCTTCTTGTGTAGATATTCAGTCAATATTCCTTCTTGTGTAGATACACAGTCAATATTCCTTTTTGTGTAAATACTCAGTCAATATTCCTTCTTGTGTAGATACACAGTCAACATTCCTTCTTTTGTAGATACACAGTCAATATTCCTTCTTGTGTAGATACACAGTCAATATTCCTTTTTGTGTAAATACTCAGTCAATATTCCTTCTTGTGTAGATACACAGTCAAT